GGTGAATGACCGTCGCTAAAACTGCAGCACTCGTTTGTGATTTGGACGTACTGCACCAACAGAGTCCGACTGGAGACTACGCCGGCAGTTACCGGAGAGAGAAGGAAGCACAAACGGTGCAAACGTAAACAAAAGAGAGGGAAGAGAGCCGGGATCCATGCTAGGCTAAAGGCTAAGCCCTCCAGACCAGCAGGACCATAGCTCCTACTCTTCAGTGTCCACTCCCTCGACAGCAGGCTGGACGAGCTACGTTTGCTGGGAGTCAATGGTGAACCCAAAGTAGAGCTTATTTTTGGCTGGAAGGATCCCAAATTTCTCACAAGCACGAGTTTAAAATGGAAATCTTTCTCTCCGTATTCAGACTCTCAGCAGTCCCTCTGTCATTACAGCTACAGCACTTTTAGTGTGTCGGAGTCATGCAGCAGAACAGCAGTTCGTCCACCATCAGCTTAGACTACGCATATGTTCTCTCTTTTATAAACATGCAGCATGTTTACGCAAAGAGGGCCGATGACGATTTAAACAATATAAGTGGCCTTACTAGGCAATCAGTCAGCTCCCAAGCAAACTAAAACCACTTTGGTAGATCAACAGGGTGGCAGCAGTAAAAGCATGGGGAGCAAAAAAAACAGCACTGCTGTGAACATTTGCAGCGACGCTTGCTCAGAGGCACGTATCAGCGAAAATGACCAGCAGCAGTAATAAGGGTCAACTGTGAAGCATATGAAGAAACTGTATCTGAAGACGAAGACAAATCTGGAATGTAGCATCTTGTTTTTTTACAAAGCGTTTTTATTTATTTTACAATGATATAAAACAGAAAAAAAGAAGAAAATGAAAACAATATTTAAAAATGTTTGCTTAATGACTTAACCATAAATAGATTGATTTACCTGTCAGCTTGTAGCTTTTGATAAAGAATCCAGTTCAGTTTCACTTGCATAAAAATCACCAAATTCCCATGCATATACTGCCGTCAGGCTAGCATTTATGTATAGTTCTATGTTGTTGCAGTGTTGTTAAGTGTCAGAAACAGCAGTATCACATGGCAACTTAATGTCAGGTATCTTATTTTGTTAATGATTATTAACTGGTTAAGAGGTAAAGTGATCTAAATTAAGTTTATGAGTAAGCTCAATAAGGAGGATCTTGATCTGTTCTTGTTGCTGTAGTCTCTTTATTACTTCAGTTCAATGTTATTCACATAACACCAGTTCACTTCATACATCATGTCATCGCATTTCACATAATGAGGTGAAGATCTTACAAATTTTAAACCGAGAAACCGAACGGATTCCCTTTGCGCAAGCACTTGGCGACAGTGGGGAAAACTTGGATGGTAAACTTCCATTTACCCACACTGTTAAAATCCCTTCATTCTCAATTTCAGCATCACAACTCTTATCCAGTGATCTATCTCTGGGCTTTCTCTGAGCCAATCACCACCCTGTAACTTCATTGTATTCTGGTTGCTCTTCCTTACGGACCGTTGATCATGCTTCCCTCCTCCTTCTCATCTCAGTCCATCTCCTGCTAACTTTGTTCCAACACCACCAACAACATCTAGACTCCGGGGAGAGTCCTGTCCTCACCTTCTGCTTTTATTTGGGACTCTGCTCTACGATGTCGCTCCACAACGAAGTCAAACCGCCAAAATAATTTGGATTCAGTGAGCTCATGTTTCCGCAATAAATTTTGTACTTTACTTCCAAACGATCCCTCCTTATTGAACTGTGGTAATTATGATTATGATGCTGACTGCGATGATAAGGGTAGTCCCGTATATCACGCTGGCAAGTAATTTAATACTTCTGGCATCAAAATATTTTGGCATGTAGTCACTGTGGAAAAGACACCCCGATACGCGAGGGTGTTTGTGTTGTGTGCAGTGAAGTGGGTTGGGCTATTCAAAACTCTTCAGCTTCACAGCTTTGGGAAAGACACATGTAAGACTCTGTAGACCAACACTTTTTTGCAAAGAGGATTTTTTTCTCTCTCCCAAAGAGATTTTAGAAAGAACCAAAGGAAATTCACCAGTGTCACCAACAATAAAAACCCCATCTTATTAACTAGTTTTGTTAATTGAGGTTTCTGTTCGGCAGCTATAATAGACATTTCTGTTTACCAAACAGTCAGAACAGGAAAATATATAGAGTTCTGTGAATACGATGATACTGATTTAATGCCTTTCCTGCATGTGGATAAATTACGCTGACTGTCATGCACAATCACCCTATCAAGGCCCATTTTGAGCCTGAAGAAATGCTGCTGTGGAGTCAAGGCACAATTGTCACATGAATGAAGTGCGATAATATTTTTCTTCTATACAACCTGTGCCTTTTACCAACTGTGCAGTGCCGCAGTTGAAGCTGTCCAGTCTTTGCAAAGATACGTTACACAAATGACGTGACAAATTAGCTTTTAGAGTAAAATCGAGCGAATGTTATGACATGTCATTAGCGTATATTTTTTTCAGCATTAATGCAGAGACATGACAGAGGGTGGCTGCAGGGAACAATTATAGAGACACTGATCATTGTATTTTCAACACAAGTGTTTGGTCTTTCCACCTTTGTTGTCAAAACTAGCAGGTGCAGTTGTGTATTCAAAGCACATAATCGGCTGCGCTGCGTTGCATTGCAGTGGACAACTCACACAGCCAGAACGGCGCTGTCAGACATTGTCGACAGCACAAAATGCAAAATACAGAACCACGAGTACACGTAGTTGCACAAACACACACATCCATACACTGCGGATGACGACTGCTATTGTGTGGATTTAAATTGTCGACGAAACTCCACAATTCTGTCAAAGTCCTGTACACTGGATTCATATGAATCCTCAAAGTCCTGCATCACAATGTGATTCTATAAAGAAAAAAAAGACAATACCCACTAAACAGGGTCTTACTGAGTTCAAACAATGAAAAACACAGCAAGACAATGCAATAACACTGTGAAAAACACCTCAGTATCACACTTTTAATAACACATCTAATGCTGTCCTGTGCCTCCCTCTCTTTTATTTCCACTCTTCCCTATCAGCAGTAATGAAAAACCATTAAAATGCTTTGGACTGCAGGCACTTCCTTTTTTGTCGGGCTGATAAAGAAGCTGCACTACTGTGAGTTAGTCCCTGGGTCCATGGTCGAGTGAGCTGCACTCAGACACCTGCTGCTCATTAACCACAACAGGGAAAGGTGACCACTTCAATCAGGATATTAAGACAGGAAATGAAATGGACAGAGAGGGTACATAAGGGGGAGGAGGAGGAACAGACACACACACACAAAAAAAAAAAAAGAAAAAGAAAATGGAGAGGAGAGGACTGAGGGTTATTCTTTGGCTTCATGCCCAGATGCAGTGTTGTGTCCCTCACCCTTGCTCAGCTGCAAATTTCCCAGCGCTCAGGTGTGTGCGTGTCTCTGCCCTGTCCACCTGACATCTCTTAACAGTAATAATATATTCCCTCCTATTAATATGTTATGGATCAGGGAGTATATTATCGATCCACCAGCTCAGCCATATTGTTTCCCTGGTCCACTTCGTTCACTCTTTTTTGCCTGCACCTGCTGCACCCATTTTAAACAACCCTTGTTCTTGTATGAAACCGCACATTGCATCCTCTTGCTTTAGCGCTGCTTGATGTATGTGCAAACGTAACCCTACGCTCTCATGTTCACCTTCCTCCCTGCAGATTCATCCTATTCCTTCTTTCGCTTGACTCATCAGACATGTGACTTGAAAGCTGCTGTCCTCGTCGACTACGTTCAAGGAGAACCAATGAGGCATGGAAGGGCGTTTTTTTTAACCGCTATTGGCTGGAAACTAACTGCGACTGAATGTATACAACCAACGAAGAAGCAGAATTTATTGTTACAACCATCGAGTTGGTGAGTAGATGAATGAGAGACTCAGGTTACTTCTTGGTCCTGACTGAAGGAGAGACTTGGACCTCTGCCACATTATGTGTTGGTGATACCAGTGCAGATACACAGCTATCAAACAGAAACTGTGTTCAGATTGTCCACTCCCGTATGGTATAGACCAATACGCAGTGAATCAGCCATTTTTTAACATTGTTTGAATACTTAACTGTAAATTTAATGTCAAAAAAAGTAAAACTCATCACAAGGCACATCAAAATGTAGAAGATGCACATGCTGATTGACCATCATGCTTTGCAGCCCGTCTCTCTGTAAGAGAAAGAAAAAACTCCACCTGCTCGTTAATGTGATTTTCTTAAGCGAGCCTTATGAGCTTAAAACTCCTCAGACATTGTTAGATTTAAAATGCCTACAGCAACCATATTTGAGACGATTAACTGCCATTAATAATTTAACTGAAGCAAAATTTATCAGCTGATAAGGCAGAAGACCAAGGACGTGCACGTCAGGAAATGTACTGCACATTAGCTCTAATACCTGGCTGCGCCATCCGGTAGAGCTTCTTACTGTTTAAAACTGCAGGAACCTGAGGAGGCGGTCACTTAGACTTCTGTAGCTTCCATGTTGGCATGCAGAGAACATTTTGGGAGCTTAGCTAGGAAAGTGCAACCATGAGAAAGTCTCTTGTGATGCTACATGGCAACAGCTTGTGCCAGGTGGGTGGCTCATGTTATAGCATACATGCCCTTAGAACAATGAATGTCATTTGAGCGCAATTAGGACATGTAATATTCACTGGGTCCACATTGTGTTAATGATTACTGATTTACCGACTTCACTAGTCTAAACTATAAGTATGTTAGTGATGTTTTGTTAGGTAACTCACTTTAGAAATATTTGTATACTAAAGCAACAATAGTGCTGCTGCTGCTTTAAAAACAAATTGGTATTTTAATGCTCCGGAGGATTTCCACAGGTAGCGACAAATCAGAATTAATGTTTCTTTATGATTTTGCCTGGTCTATGATGTCACCCACCTGCCCAGCAACAGGGGCTCCACCTACCAGCATGCAAAGCCAGACTGACACCCACAAAAACTTGCCCCAGTGACCCCTGACACTGAACTTCCTCAGGTCTCTGGCCATACACCCACTGGACTGGATTGAATTTACTTTACTTACAAGATCTATACAAATAGGAAGTGAATGAGTTAGTTAAACTAATGCAAACAAACATTTTAGGGGAACAGAATCAAATTTATTGTGTCCCAAAACATTTTTCCCCATCACTAAGGTAAACATGGCCCATTGAGCGCCACACAAAAGAGTAGTTGACTGATAAGAGTAGAAAATCTTCCAACAACAGTGCGGACACGATTTACCGTCTCCAGCTTTTCAAATAAGATGATGTGGTGTTTTCTGTTCCGTTTGGTTTTAGAAATAATTTTTAATTGAATTGTTTGCTGAAAAAACAAATAGACATCACCTTGGGTTTTGGATTCTTGTCTTACAGATTAAACTGTTAATTGGAAAAACAACAAGGCATTATCGAAATAAATTGTTTAATCCAACTGGTACACAGTGTAACATCTGTTTAGTTGGTAAACAATATTCCTAAGAATACCACAAAAAAACTAATATTCGCCATTTGCATGTGGTGTGAACATCCAAAGTGATTCCAATCTTGACATCTCAATACAACAAATATGAGCACATTTAACATTTAGAGACATTTAGCAAACATAATTACATGCTACTAAAAGGATTTTGCAAATTCCACCCATGACATCTGACAAGGGAGTGGCACCTAGTTAGGCTCATTCATCGATCTGGATCTCCATGACAGCGGTTATCCCTCAGTGCATTTATTTAGAGCTGTTGATTACTTGCCAAACAGACAATTTGAAAGTAACCTTGTGCCTTGAATGTTTTGTCAAATTAAACAAGCACATTGAGGACACAATTTCACTATTTTCTGATATTTCAAAGACAGAAGGATGAATTGAGGAAATAATAAGCAAGTTAATCAATATTGGAACTAATTGTTAGCTGCAGCGCTACATTTATTTACTGTTAGTAAATGTAACACATTTAGAAAAAGAGCAAAATATCCACTGGCCCAATAAAAGAAGTTTGCCAAAAGCCCAGATATTGCCTCAGCTCAAAGAAGATACTGTATGTGTTCACCGACACGACTTCCACTGCCATACTCCATCACTATAATTGATGTTTAAGTTTCTGCTGCATTGCATTTCACTTACAACAGCCCCTTGGATCAGTCTGCAAAAAACAGTGACTGTGCACTTTGTTGCTGCGCCCACATTATTTCTAAACTTTTCTCCAGGAGGGAGGCCAACATTTTTCTGTTGCAAGAGGATTTGTTTTACTTAAACATGTACCTTTCTCAAAGTGAATACTGGCACAGAAAAACATACAGCAGTGTGCAAGTACATCCACTGAAACTGATATACACACTGGAGATAAGCAATTAGTACAGTACAATTAAATACCAGTATTTGCGCTAAAATTGAAAAACAAAAATACAAAATAATTATATAAATATCTTAGTGTTGTCATTACTTCAAAACCCGTGTTAATACATCAGACTGTGGAACAATAACGCAGCAGAAACCTTAAAAAAAAATGGGAAAAGGGTTGGAATAATACATGACAAATTTGAACTTCAAATTTGTCATTTAACTCTGGTTTTAAAAGTGAAAATATTTAGACAATGTCAAGATGTCAATGCGGGGAAGTAGAGGGGATAGAAATTTAATTAGGGCATTTAAATCTGGTGTTATTTATCTGTACACTTGTGAACTGAGTATTAGCAACTTGCATTAACATGAGTAAGCGTTACCATTGGGAAAGCTGCATTTGCATATAGTGATGTTCGTCACATTTGTAAGTCAGCTAGAAAGATGAAGCCAAAATCAACAGTTACTATTACCCTTAATTATCTCATCAAACTCAAAAAGTTCACTTGTCCCAAAAGTTTGACTTTTAGAGGCTATTAGCACAACGTAGGGGTGGGCGATATGGCAATAATATCATATCACGATTTTTTTATTAGAAAATCCCGATTTAGATTTTAGCACGATCTTACGTGTATTTTTGAGACGAAGTGCAGCTGGACCACAGATCACTTGCTGTTGCGAAAAACTGGACGTTCTTAACTTCGCGTTCAATCTTTTCTCGGCATTCAGAGTAGAGACGTTGAAATGGCAGCGTTGGAGAAGTATTTTCGGCTCAGTAGCTCATACTGCAGGTTAACTACTCTGAGCAGGCATTTGAACCCCTCATTTTCTGCTGTCTTTAGGGGAACCATACCTTTTGCAAGATAAAAGGTACCTGCTTCTGTTACCTCTTTCCACCGCTTGCTTGTCCTCTCATATGGAGTGCCTTTATCAAATGCCTGTGTTAACGTTGTCTGTTTGGGTCCAGCTGCTGCCTCTGGCTGCAGTGCTGCCGGCAGTCCCTTTGCTGTTTGACTCTCAGCATACTGTTTAGGATGCTTTCTCTTCAAGAGATTGAACAAGTTCGTTGTGTTACCATCCGACGTGCAAACCATCTCTGTGCAAACTTTGCAAAATACCCTTGTGTGCGCTTTGTCATTTGGGGAAAAGCCAAAACAATTCCGCGTGCAGGCTCCGACGGGCTGGAAGTGGGCGGGACGCACAGGCAGCATTTGACTACTAAGACCTGTTTAGGTGTTTAACTTAGCAGTCACAGTACAGTGTCCGTGGGGACGGGGGGAGAAGGAGGAGGAGAACTCCTCTGTTTGGCTTTCAGCCATGGCTCTCCATGTGGCTACCGCTTAACACACAAACAAGGAGGCAGGTAAGAAATTGCGTCACTGCCCATAATTCCCTGTGATTGGTCGGTCAGGTTGACGACATAAGACGTCTGGGGCGTCAGTGTATCAACATAGAACTGCAATTTATAAAATGTGACCAAAACGATCCATACGATCTCCTTTATTTGGCAGATTGTCTGCACGTTCTAATCGTTCACAATCTAATATCGTCTTATCACGCACCCCTAGCATGACGTCTGCAGTTGTGTTATCACATCTTACAACCTGTCGCTTTTTGAATCCTTTAACAAGTCTGCAAGTCCGTCACAGAGAGTTTTGCCAGGATAAACTTGTTTGCTCATCAAGCTGCGTACGTAAAATATTTTGTGGTATGTGTAGGTTCACCCTGATTGTTGGCTGTAAGTGGAAAAAAATACCATATTTTGCAATGTGCAGCTACTTTAAGGACAACCCATGCATGCGCAGCCGTAGCATGCTCATAAAAAGCCTGCAAAGCTTGCAAAGTAGAAGCAGAGCACTACATGCATAGTGTTAAATGCAGATACTAATCAAATGAGGGATAGTGTCTCTTTAAACAGCAGGGTATTTTAATACATTTGTAGTGTCGGTGTCTCATGCAACTCTAGAATATTTGGCTACATTTTGATACACGTAGCATAATTTGATCCAAATATGGCCACTGACAACATGTTTGTTCTAAAAAAAAATACTTTCAGTGTCTTTCAATGTCAATGCTTTTTTTCTAACGTATCTCTGACATCTATAAGCCCCTAACCACCTACCTATGGATATTACAGAGATTTCAGAATTTATACACAAGCAATCTGCACTCATAACCACAAACTGCAACACGGCATCACTCACAAACACACACAGACCAGAAACAACGCTGCGCACATACCAGAGCTCATGACATTCATAAGAGGAAATGAAAAGGAGCGTTGTCCTGTCCTGGGCACGGGCATGCAAGACAGTGATTGTGTTGAGTCAATGTGATTACCTGGGAGTTACTCTCTGGAGGCAAACGCTGCCGAGTTATCATAGTGTTATTATTCCCAAACTAATATCATAGCCTGCCAATCACTTACAATGCATTTCTTAACCACATGCTGACAAGTGTGGTGGTTGCAACACACGCATATACACACAGATGGAAGCACGTTTAGACAGAAACACACTCGCACGTAGTTTACACATGGTGAGAAGTAATAAAACACACACAGAATGAATGAATGACTGAATCCAGACACACACTCAACCAAACAGGCGGCAAGCCAGCAGACATTTACACACACAGATTTCCTCAGAGGGCCTCGGGGCGAGTGGGAATCGTCCTCTTCATCTGAAGTAGAGAGGAAGCCCATTGGCCAAATTAGATTGTGCCGTTTCCTGACGGAGTTAAGCATCAATCTGCAGCACTGTGCCGTGATTCGCAGTGACCTTGGCCTATCACAGCGCGGCGTCTGGGAATGCTCGGAGCGGCTCTTAATCAGACCTGGAGGACATGAGGCCTATGATGACATTACTCAGCCTTTATCTCTCTACACACGTCCCTCTGTTTCTCTGTGTCTGTCTCCCAACGTGCCCTCTCCTCTTTCCCCTTCACTCCCTCCCTAGCTCCGGGGTGAGGAGGTGGCTCCGCGGCTCGAATGGATGCTTACTTAACCCGACCTTTGAATGTAATCCATGTTCATTGATCCGATTCTACCCTGACAGTTTGCCCTCACGATGCTGACCGGACCTACAAAACGTGATCCGTTTGTGCCAGCTGTGACCCATTTCTATTCGACTCAACAGGTACGTCAACAGGTTAGTTTGTGCATCATTGTTTGCATTCTGGCATCGATCCTCGTGGCGTGCGCACATGTGACCATCCCCTAAACATGCGCACTCGCCTTCGTTCCAGAGCTACTGCAGTCCCTCTGTGAATGATGAGATTGTGCTGAGATGGAGATAAATGAGCCTTCATTACAGCCATGATAGCACCAAGCAGCACCAGAGAGAGGGATGAGAGGAAAAGACGCTCTCCTCCCTTTCTTTCCCTCCGTCCCTCATTTACCATGTCCAAGGGTGCTTAACGCATAAAGGACACAAAAGGACAATGTACATGCTGTGGGCTTTTTAATAAATATGTGCATTTATATAGCTCGTACTTATGCACATATACACACACACCACATAAAAGAAATATGTGCATTTATATTGCTCATTCGCGCACACACATCTACAGAGTGCTTCGAATCAAACTCCATCCATAGAGCCATATAGCAAACACCTACATAGATAATGGAATTCTCTGTCAGGATCTATCAAGGAAAAGCTTTTACCTCCACATGGATAACACACTTATCCTGAGCTGCAAACATATACACACATTTATGCACACGCAACTTTGTCAAACCACACAGCCACGCGGCATGCCAAATCAGTACAGTAAAAGCCCGCCGTTTTAGGTGCATTTGGCCCATTTGATGATTGAAAAAGATTTGTAAAATCAAAGATATAAAAAGCCTGTCTCATTGTTGGCAGACAGTGTAAGGAGAATGTAATTGGATTTTTCCCCTCTTGGTTTAACAGATGATGTTGCGCTGTACGGAGGGTAGAAAAGTTATGAGCGCTGTACAGCACCTGTACACACATTCAGACACACCTGTACATAGAAAATGTAGTACAGCAAACAATGCGATATTACAATTGCTTTTATGATACAGTAGACCTTGGTTATTTTCAAGCAAGGTAATATTACCAGTCATATCCACTCTATATCAGTGCCACTATTCACAGTCAGTATTCTGTGCTATAGCAATACAGAAGCGAGACCAGAATTTTAACAGGCTCAAGACGAGCAAAAGCCAGCGTGTATATGTGTGAGTATACTGTATATGTGTGTCTGCTGCTGAGTCACGCAGGGTCCAGAATAGATCGGTCTGAGTCGAGCTTAATTCTCAGTAGGTCAATGTCTGGTTGTTACCTGAGGAAGGGCTTGATGTGATGTCATTGGAAAAAGGAAACCAAAGGACAGATACAGGAAGACAGAGCATCCTCGAGGCATGCAGACCAAACCTGGACTTGACTCGCGGGTACACACAGTATATTTCCCTGTATGCCTCACTTTCCAGCTCTGGCTGTCGTACAAATAAATGCGCACAAACGTGTGGACGCACAACAATTCACCGAGGGCCTCGATTGGCTCGACGCCAATGTAATGACTTGCAGGTTTTGTTTTTAATTGCTTTCCCTTTTTCCTGTCCATTCATCCTCCCACATCCCTGTGCGCTCTACCTGGTGGTCAGTGGTGCACACATTTCAGCATGGAGGGTTGAGAAAATGTTTTTTGTTTTTTAACTAATTTAACCTCTAGAAAAATGACCAAAACTGTCCTCAAGATGAGATTTACCAACATAGACAGCATGACAAAGTCATGACAACATGACACAAGTGAAAGCCAGAGAGCACCATGACCATTTGACCATTTTTCTGTTAAAAAGGGCAGAAACTACTACTGTCACAAGAAATAAAGACGTCAGAACAGGTTGACAGCTGATGTTTCTTCACAACTGTTTTCAAGACACTGACTGAATGTTAAGATCGAGACCATATTTCATCAGGAGTTGGAGTAGTGCAATGCAGTGCAAATAATAGCCTGCTGTCATTTTGGAGCCAACCCCACAAAAACAAAAAAAGATCTGACCAAATAAATCATTTCAAAAATAGAATCCTTGTCTGCCGGTGCAGAGATCTGCCCCAATGCCGCTCATTAAGAAAAATGATGCTACAAATGTAGATCACACCTTCAACCTTGTTATTGCTAACTGACATCCTAAGATACAGAGATGTCCGACTGTTGCAAAGAAGAAACACTGCAGACATGTTGCTATATCGGAGGGGCAGAGGAAACATTCTACCTTCAGAGTAACTGAAGCTGTAATTACTATGTACTTGCGCATGCGTGTTACAGCAACAGAAGCAATGTCTAATTTTACATTTATGTGTATAACTGTTCACTTTACAATGCCCCTGAAAGCTTCTTGCTGGCAGCACATGGCCTATGTAGTTCGACATTTGTGATTTTTCATACGAAACATTAAATCTGTTGAAGTTATATCTTTATGCAGATGACATATTATTTATCAGTACAAGGTGTTTTGAAGAAATATCTTCAGTTGTCTCGCTTTGCCGGTACATTCTGTAGAAGAGAATGGTCTGGCTGCACCTTGCTATCATTCTGCTATAGGGGACAAAAAAATTGTTTGTTTTTCTTCAGTCCAATC